TAAACCTGTGAAGGATCCCTGTAGCCGTGTCATTGTTATAGTACTGCTGTTAAGAAGGCCACGGTACTGTAATAGTAGTCAAGATTATTTACAAGCCTTAATTAGATATTTGCCTAGCTCTTTAAAAATTCTTAGCTTACTTGATATTTATAATTATTATTATAAAAACTTAAATTGTTTTTTACAAGATTTTGATATAGAAAGAGTGAAATTAGAAGTTTTTATATTACCTTTTAATGTTGAGCTTGATCAACTTCCAAATTTAAGAAAATTTATTGAAAAGGCTAAATATTTAAAATATATAGAAATAGTGAAATCAGAGAATTACAACATAGAAAAACAAAAAAGCAGTGAGAGAGAAATAATTAATCTTTGTTAAGTTAGAAATATTAAATGTGGTTTAAAATTTTAATTAGAAAGATATAAAGATTATTTTTATACTAATAAGATAGAATTTAAATTTTACTAAAAATTAATATAAACTTATATTTAAAACTTAGTTTAAAAAAAAACTTAGCAAAATTAAAATAATATTAAAAAATATTATATATTGTGAAATTTTGCAAATTCACAGTCTTATTTATCTTATACAAAAGTATGCCTTTTCATATTAAATGAGCAATTAGTATAATATACATTTTATAATAATTAAATAGTCAATATTTAATTTTCAGCTCTTATTGTTTTTTTTCAATTGTATCAATTGAAAAAGGATAAATATAATTGTATTTCATATGAATTATACTTGAAAAAGTGAATATTGTATTATTTAATAATTGTTATATATTAAACAAGAAAATGTTAATATAAAGTTTAAAGATTAAATATAGTTATAATTAAAAATAAAAAAGATTTCTGTTTCTTAGTAATTGACTCTCTAAAGGAAGATGATTTTGAAATAATTTGATACAAAAAAACTTCAGAATATACTATTATTGAAGTCAGATTCAATACTTATTTTTTTTATAATCTAATTATTTGACATAAAACAATTTCTAATGTAGAAGATTATAAAAAATTATATAGCACAATCACAACTTATGAACAAATATATTCAAAATTGGTAGCTGTTAACAAAAAAAAGTTAATAAGCATAATTAAGACAAATAGATTATTATGTTAAGCAAACTCATTTAAATCAAATAACTTACTTTAATAAATATAGAATTATAGATTTTCTAAAAGAAGAGTATTTCAATCATTGCAAAGAATATTTTAGAAATTTAAAGAAGTTAAAATATGACAAACAATTAAAGTTACCAATCAGAGTTGTAAAGTAATTAAAATTTTGGTTTAAAAATAAGAAAATTACTATGATTAACAGGCTGTGAAATTCACAGATCTGCATCAACTAATCATTTAATCTGTTTTTTTGATTGCTATGCAAGGTTGAATAGTCTTATCCTGTGTTGCCAGATCCAGGCTTTCTTTGTACTTTTCGGTTTTTTTTTTTTCTTCTTTTTTTTTTATCCTCTTCCTTTTTTTCGTTCTCTTCTTTTTTTTCAGCTTTTTTCTCTGCTTCTTTTTTTTTCGGTTTCATTTTTTTCAGCTTTTTTTTTTCAGCTTTTTTGTTTTTTTCGTTCTCTTTCTTTTTTTCGTTCTCTTTTTTTTTTCAGCTTTTTTTTTCTCTGCTTTTTTTTTTCTGTTTTTTTTTTTTTCTGTTTTTTTTTTTTTTGTTTTTTTTTTTTTTTTGGTTTTTTTTTTTTTGTGTTTTTTTTTGTTTTTTTTTTTTT